CCTGCTCAAGAATGATCACAAGGAGTTCTTGGACAATTTGGAAAGCTTGTAATGTTCTATACAAGCCCTAATTTGAATCACTTTTGAAAATTCCCCTTGGAAATTATATGAAAAAGTGCCATGAAGTTAGGTCAAAATCCTGCCTGAACTAGGGGCAAAATTTCACTAAGTGTTTAATTTCAAGACCATGACTTCATGAATTAATAACTTGAGATACAAACACTTTTATAAGAAATTGTGTAAATAAATGTTGTAGATCTCATGGATATCTACAACTTTCATGTTGAAAGTTTCTTTTGAATCATCTTGCATCATGGTGAAATATTTGCTCTAAGTTGTGAAAAAACACGAAGTTTTAAACACTTAGAAAAATTTCTAAGTTAGAAAACTTTGACTTTTCAAAATGAAATCTTGACTTTTTGATTTCTTGATGAAAAAGTTTCATATTTTGACATGTTTTTGATGAATTTTTGATCTTTGACACTTGGTTTTTGACTAAAAAGTCAAAGTTTGACTTTTCAGTGTATAGTTAACTTTTGATAAGTTGATTGAAAATTCATTATCAATCCAATTGATTTTGAACAATGTTTTGAGTCATGCCATTAGGTAAAAATGATGCAATTGAACTCTTGAGATCATGCCTTAAACCAATTAACCATTTGCTAGGTCAAAAATCAGAAATTGCCCCTTTCTCAATCAAAACCCTAATTTTGACCATTTTGCCCTTTTGATGATTTGATCAAATTTCTTGAGGAATTATGGTCCAAACTTGATCAAATGATACATATGAGTTTATAATGTTGAATGTGGTAAAAAATTATGAAGTTTGACTGTAAATTGGCCATAGTTGACTTTTCCCCCAATACAACTGATGTTTAGGTCAACTGCTCAATTGACTGAGCAAAATGTGATCCAAGACTTGAAACTTGACATGAGTAATCTTGGGGGTCTATAATGATCCATGAAAGTCATATGAAGCATTGAAAGTTCAATATCTTGTGCAATCTCAAACCCTAATTTCAGTCATCAGTGCTTAAGGAGGTGTCTTGAGTTGATCAACCCTAGTGCAACCTTTAACCAAGAGAGATCTTTGTGAGAAAATATTTGATAAGTGACAGGACAAATTTGGGGTACAACAGTTGCTACATAGTTGGTATTAGAGGAGGTCAGTTCATCCAGCCTAGGTTTTGTGAACTTATTTATACCCTGGTGTGCGACATGCGTAAGAACACTATCGATGCTTGAATTCATTGTTGCTATTTGCTTTGCTGTTTATGATTAGTTAACCTATCCTGACTTTTTGTGAAGAAAGAAATGGCTGGAGAGTATAAATGATCAAGAAATTTTTGATGCTCTTGAGGTATAACGGTGGAGATGGTGAATTCCATGGGATAGGAAAGTTTTTAGAAGAACAATTCACCTAATTTCAAGGGAAGGTATGATCTTGAGGGGTGCTCAGACTTGGATTAAGGAGATTGAGAAGATCTCCAGAGTTATGATTTGCATTGATGAACAAAAGGTGTTGTTCGGAGACCCATAAGATGTATGAGGAGGTTAAGTTCTTGCAACTGAAGCAAGGAAGTATGACATTGGATGACTATATAGCTAAGTTCTAGGAGTTGTCGATATTTTGTCCCGATTATAATTATACGGACGATGAAGGGTCTATGTGCATTAAAATTTGAGAGTGGCTTACGTCTTGAAATCAAGAATTTCATTGGTTATTAGGAGATTCATCATTCTTAGTACTGGTAAAAAAATGTAGGATTTATTATGAATATTGTAGTGCCATATCTGCTCACTACAAAAGTGTGAGTGAGAAGAAAAATAGAAATCAAAATCATGGTAAGTTCGTATGTGACTCCAGTGGATGAGGGGAAAACAGAAGTTCCAACAGAAGGTTGCAGGTGTGAAAGATTCAAGTGGGGGAGGTACTTGTGCTTCTCTGAAGTGTTTTAGATATGGAGAGTTAGGTCATCATATTGTAGAGTGCACGGACATGAAGTGTTTCAAGTGTGGAAAACTGGGACATCCTGATGCTTCGTTCAGGAGTGAAGTTGTGACTTGTTTCAATTGTGGAGAACCAGACCATATTAATACAAAAGTGTCAAAAGTCAAAGAAATTGCCAGATGTCGTGAAGACTAGTGGGAATGGCTTTTCTCTAAGTGGTGGGGAGACCTTCGGATCTGATGATTGTGAGTGCAATATCCTCTCTTAGATGTTTTGTATAATGTCAAAGCTAGTAAATATATAGTATATGTATATTGAAAGGTATATCTCTATGTTTAAGTTGCATTTTCATCTTATAACATTTAGGAATCATGTCAAAAGCTTTTGGGCAAGTCAAATAATTCAAAAACATGCATTTGTGAAAAAATCGTGTTTGGAGTCCACTCCCCCGTGTTAAGAGCCGACTCCATTTGAAGCAATTTTAAAAAGAAACTCTCTCTTAAAGATGGGGTAATACATGCAATCTTTGGAGTCGATACACAACTGAAGGAATCGACTCCCTCGAGTTGTGGGTCGACTCCTACTGAAAGTAAAATTTAAAAATCTTCTTTGTCCAAGATTGGTCGACTTCCAAGAACTTTGGAATCGATATAAAGCATAAAGAAGTCGACCCCCACGAGCTATGTGTCGACTCCTACTGAAGTTTATTTCTAAAAAAATCACTTATGTCCAATTGGAGTCGACTCCCAAGCAGTATGGGTCGACTCCCTTGCTCTTAAGAGTCAACTCCTTCTTTGTATGACTCGGCTCCCACTGAACCAAATGTCAAAATTTATTATTTTGCAACATTAATTTTTTCGGTTTTCTCAAGTAAACTCACACACTCATAAACACACACACACACAGACATACACAGGCACACACACACGCACGCACACACACACACACATGTTATATATATATATATATATATATATATATATATATATATATAAATATATATATATATATATATATATATATATATAGAGAGAGAGAGAGAGAGAGAGAGAGAGAGAGAGAGAGAGAGAGAGAGAGGAGAGAGAGAGAGAGAGAGAGAGAGAGAGAAGAGAGAGAGAGAGAGAGAGAGAGAGAGAGAGAGAGAGAGAGAGAGAGAGAGAGAGAGAGAGAGAGAGAGATAGAGAGAGAGAGAGAGAGAGAGAGAGAGAGAGAGAGAGAGAGTTGCTCATCATCTTCATCCTCTATCTATGCATACACACAACAAATTACACATAATCATTCTTTATTGGATGATCAGTGCATTTTAATGCATATTCTATGATTCTGCTTTGGCATTTCCCTAGTTTTTTATTTATCTTATTATTTCTATTGTGTTTTTCATATTTTAATTTATTTTTGTCTTTATTTTATTTTCGTATTTTATTTTCAGCATAAGCAGTTTTCTTGTGAAAATCATAACTGGAGCTACGGGAGGCCGTTTTGTGAGTTCTGATATGTGTTGGAAAGCTGAGAGAAAGAGCTAGAACTTTCATGTTAAAGCCAAAAGCTGAATCAGAATGCAGAAGTCTCGAATAATTTGTTGAAGTTTCAGACATTAGAAATATTTAGTTTTGAACCGAATTTTTTTAATGTTTTTCGACCTAGATGGGTTAGAACCTGGATTTGATGTTTCCCTATATCTAGTGGCAGCCCGCGCTACTGTTCATCTCTCTCATTTTTACTATTCAGTGATTATTTTTTTGAAGATTTGCACGTTGTAATGGAGAACTAAACACCATAAATTAATCTGCTCTAATCGGTTTCCGCTGACACTTTGAGGTTATATAATTTTCAATCAAATTGCTTATTCCTTTCAATATTATGCTCTATGTCTTGTTTGCTTAATTCATGTTCTATAGAATAAATATTGATTTATTTAGATGATTGTGTGTTCCTATAATTTAATCGCGTTTTCTTAATTTGTGTAGTCATGTTTTCTTAATTCACGATAACTTTAATCCATTTGCTTAATTCGAACATTAGGAATATACATCTTGTAGTGTGAATTGCACTTGTTAGTTGATACTATATTCAAAAAGGGATTAGAATCCGCTTAGGGTATGAAAATTATATGAATCAATGATAAGTTGGGAAATCGAAGCAGTAGATTAGTCGTTTTAGCTTATTTGATAATCACTTAATTTAATAACTTTTTCCTGAATCGAAATTGAACTCAACCCCCGCTATATTCGTTTTCTGTTGTTTAATTGATACAAAAATTCTTGTGATACGATACTCGAGTCATTGTTGCTAGCTACAGTTTTTAAAAATTATTCGATTTGACCCGTGCGTGACAACATATCAAATTGGTGCTATTACTGGAGATTCTTGTCGATTTAGCCAATTCTTTAGTTTTTTGGTATTGTTTGTTTTGATTTTCTGCATCTTTCTATTCTTTTTCTTCTTTTTTCTGCGTTTTCGCGTTTGGACGTCCGACCTGGTCTGAAAAAACCCGGTTTCTGAAAAATTGTGTCCGATTCATAATCTGTTTTCCAAAAATTCATCTTTTTTCTATTTTTAATGAAATTTCTACTGCTTTCATAGTGTCGAAAAATTCCTAAAAAAATTCCAAAATTCTTATTTCACCTAGTTAGATTAAAATTTGTGTTTTTACATTTTTCTGAATTTATTTTAATCACATCTCTTCTTGCATTTGGTTTCTACCTATTTAGGACATTGTTGGTATTTTTGTTTTAAATAACATGGTTGATCAAAGAACACTAAGACATCTTACTGCTCTCGATGTTAATTTCAATAGTTTATGTATTGAATATATTGATGTTGATGTAGTCAACCCCACTTAGTGGGATAAGTCTTGGTTGTTGTTGTTGTGTTTTGCTTATTTTGTTGTTTTGTTTTCCTAATAGTTTGTCTGAAGATTATTTATATCCTCCTTCTATCCTTTAGTTATGCAGTCTTCATTTTTTTCCTTATGAAATAGTCTTTCATCTATAGAAAAATGTTGTGACACTGGATTTTACTTGTTCATGATTCTTGTGTGGTGCAGGTTATGAGAAGTTTAATATTTTCAAAGGGCATACCAGCGTTTTATAGTAGTAGATATCAAATTCATCATCAAAGCAGTTCCCTAGTCGAGGTCAGTTCCTTTGTGTTCTTTCTTATGTACGCTGGTCCAGTCCCCATTTCGGCATGTTTTATAAGTGGATTTTGTATTTGATGTGGAATAAACTCTAGAGTAGTAGAGACTCTTGCTAACAATGCCAAATCGCAATGTGAAAAAACTTCTCTTAACCATTTAGTGCATGTATTGTGTATATATACAAGTGCTTATATTAATTCCAAAGGACAAACGTAAGAATGTTATGACAATTTCAATCTACATCTTTTATGCACAGAAGGAATAATAGCATTGCATCTATGCTGCATAGAAATCAGGAATTCATGGTGAAAATTGGGTATTATGTGACAGGTTCCTAAGCTTGCCTTGGCTGCTGAGTACTTCTTTAAAATGGGCGTGGAAGGAAAAAGATTTCGTCCCACAGTAAGAATATTCTTATAATGGGTTGACATCTAGTTTAGTCAGTTTTTTCTTTAGGTCCATCAATCAAGTCGTACAGTGAAAGGGCCCAATGATAATTCTAAAACCTCTTCTTTATACACTTTGGAGAAAGTTTTCCCATTATTACATTACTAAATAATTTTGGCATTAATTTGTCCCAGGTGGCAAGCCTTCTTCATGATGATGTATTGGATGATGCAGTTACCAGACGTGGTAGGGGTTCATTAAATTTTGTAATGGGAAATAAGGTAGTGTATCAAGTTTTTTTTTTTTGCCTGTATACTATTTGCCAGTTGTTTATAATTGTTCACTTTTTTTACATGTAAACTGTGATATCATGGTGGGTGTAACTGGCTTGAGGTTTTTTTGGATATACTTTTGTTGCAGTTGGCTGTATTGGTTGGAGATTTTTTTGCTTTCCCGGACCTGTGTCACTCTGGACTCTTTAAAGAACACAGAGGTACAGTAAATCGGTAATATATGTTCATATGTACCTATAATATAACAGAGATGTATTGGATGATGCAGTCACCAGACGTGGTAGGTGATTGCGATTTTAGGAGTCTATCAGGTGTAATGACTGCAAGTGTACAGTCTATCGCGTAGTTTTAAAAAAATATCGAACCCACAAGGAATGATGGTCAAACTACTGTTATCTTAGAGTCACTGTGTAAAGCTAAAACTAATTATAAAATCGGGATGTTTGGGTTAAATCATAAATTAACTAAAGTCTAATAATTAATAACGGGACACCGGTATGTATTTCGTCAACTTTAGGGATTCAGTAAGTCGTTGACATTTGTTTTTAGTATTAAAACATAGTTTCGGTGAAAACTATTCGTTTAAAAACTCTCGTCTCAAACTTTCGTTCTATTGAATCAGATCATAGCAGTTAAGCTCGAAATGAGCGTTTCCGCTGTTACATTTAAAACTCAAAAGTATTTTTTGAATACAAATAAGGTCCAGTTAACTTTAAAGTGCTCCTGCTGTTTTTAAAATTAATGTTTTAATAATCACTATTTGGTTAAAACGCCAAACTTTCGCTCTGTTGATTTTAACCTTAGACGGTCTCTTACTTCCGTACAAAAACAATTAAATATTCAATTGAAAATTAAAACTAGAAAAGTGTTTTTGTAAAAATAATAATGCTAATTAATTACCGAATCCTTTCGGTTAAGTTTTACATACCGGTATCAGAGAATCTAGCCAGACATAATTTTATCGCAGAACAACATAAAATTAAAACGTAAATTCAACAACGCATGCATGGTAGGAAATAAATAAATTATGCTTATTAAAATAAGAACCTGAAAGTGAATAATAAAGCGATTAATTCCGAGTAATGCGTATCCTCCACAAGCCGGCAGGATTGACTTGTAGTAAAAATATCTCGAATTAAAATAAAATAATCCTAAGCAAAATCTGGAAGTCTGGAAACAAACTAGTGTTGCAGTATTTCTCCGATGTGAAAAAATACTGCTTTGATGGTGGGGTTTTTTTATTGCCTAAGTAGGAATTCAATATGGAGAAGAATCCGTGAACATGCGTCGAGTCCGTCAAATGGAGAGAAAATCATAACTGCTATATGGATCGTGGTGAGCGTGATATGTGGTGTGACGTGGGACACAAAATTCTTATATGTCCCGGTCGTAACATGAGACGTGCCGAGGGGCACAAAACTCAACTTGTCCCGGCCGTAACACCCTTGTGGCGGGCGGCACGCCTTCTGATGCAGGAAGTGCTGAAATGCTTCAAAAAAGGCCATTTGAACTTCATTTTTCCATTGCTTTTCTTCCTTTTCACATTTATGCCTTGCAAAAGCTAAGTACCTGAAATATGTTGCAAATACTACAAAAAGAGATAAAATGTGACATAATAACGAGGAATTGAAAATTTAATCTATGTAAATCGGTCGGAAAATGCTATATCTTTTCGTGTTATCAAACTCCCCTAAGCTTGAACTTTTGCTTGTCCTCAAGCAATAAAGTCAGTATAAAAACCAATAAGGCACAAGTTAAATGCAATTTCATTATGCAATTAGAATCATAAGAGGCTGTCAATGTTTTGAAGAAACGTAAGCTCAACATAACACAAGAGATACGGTAATAACACTAAACATCCCCCATTGTGCAGACCAATTCCAGTCATGCCATTATTGTTCAACCTAATTTTTTTGCTAAATTTTACCCGTTTTCATTCTAGCGCAATCACATTAAGCCCTTTGTCTTCACACACGCATAGTAGAGTAGCCGGTTAGTGACTATGATCCTTTTAAGCACGAGGTTCTGGAACATAAATGCGATAACCTCCTTTAATTCCCCCAATTGCAAGTTGTGGGGGATCGGACGGTAGTCCGCCTTACCAAGTTTAGTACCAGACACCTTTGAACCAACTGACAACAGGTTTTTATGTTATATCATGTAGGTACTGCATCCGTTGGATTAAGTGACCGGGTGAGGGTCATCTAACTTAATTGGTGTATTCCCTATTTTCTTACAGCAAAGCATGTATCTCTCAAATGTACTGGATCATTCACTTATGTTCACCGACTCCCTACGTAGTTTGTGTTTAAGACGGGTTGACTGCTAGATAAACTACTTGGGGCTACTTTAAAGCTAAAGTTTAAGGTTTCAGTATAAAGGGTACTGAAATCGATCTAGCGTAATATGGGGATTTAGAGTGTTATGACGGTAGTCATCATACTTCTGTTTCACTCAAAGTTTCTCATATATATTTTAAAAGGCGAGCAACCTATATATTCTTCGAACGCGTCAGATTATGCAAGTAACGAACAAATTTTTGTTATGGCTCAAGAAAGTGGGAAATTAGATAACAACAGAAAAATTTGCATAAACGAACTCGAAAATACAATGATGTTTTTTATTACAAGAAATACAAATGGAAATGAAAGAATGACCTACTTAGAAAGAAACAAAGAGTTTCTAAACTAAATAACTCCCCTAAGCTTGAAACAAGCAATATCCCAATGTTTTAAAAACAAAAAGGAAACGGGAAGAGAAGTAAAAATCAATCTATTCTTGTTCATTATCGTGCCCTCTTCCTCGTCCCCGTGCTCGTTCACGTGTACCCGGAGGATGGGGCATAGCCACATGGTATATAAAATCTTGAAAACCATTCATGCGTACAATTAAAGCCGCCATTTCCTTGGTTAATCTTGTAGCCCGACGCTCGTTTCTTTCGTCATATTCTTGCTGCTGAGTTTGCATGGCCAGCATAAGTTGCATCATTGCATTTTGGTTGTTCTACATAGCCTGAATTCTTTTATCCTGTTCCATTATGGCATCCATAATGTCATCATTCGAGGCCGATACTCTTTCTCGTCTTCTCCTGGGGCTAGTGGACGTGCTTGCAACATTTTCAGGAGGACCTTGTTGTTCAGTGTCTCCTTGTTCCATTTCATCTGTTTGGACATTCCCCTGGTTACTTTGCGCATTATCTCTAGGTGCAGGAGCATCAAGGTCATAAAGCCACTTAGACAAGTCTGTAATATTAGTAAGTGCAAAGTTCAGAAAAATGACACTAGGAACTACCTTGTTGTGCACCATGAGGTTGTACCTTCCATCTCTTTTGAACTTAATCAAGTGGCCAGCCCGACAGTTGTCGATGTCAATGAAAGTGGGCGACAGTGATGGCAAATTCACAAGCTTGTCTTTGAGGCAAAGGCCAAGTGCTATAGAGGTGACTAGCCCATCAATGTATAAAGGCGTAGATCCTCTTGCACACAAAGACTGGATATGTGATCGAAGGAATATTCTTGCATTGATCCTTTGGTTGGGAGTGAAGGTACAATGGAGGAGGAACAATTCGTTAGAATTAACCTTGTTGTTGTTAATCCTCCCAAAAATGGTGTTTGAGATAACACGGTGGAAATAACTTATTGCGGGATTATGAATGGATGAAGCATAAAGTCCTTCCCAGATGTTCGGTTCCTTATTAGTAAGAGATTTCCAAAGCTTGAAAGCTGTAGACGCCCAATCTTGGTCTTTAGGAATACAGTGGTGTACTACTCCCTCACGAGGGAAATGGAAGAAAGCACTCAGAGTTGATTGACTTACAAAATATTCATTGTTGAACATTCTAAAAGTAGTGGAGCCGGATAGGTGCTCGTCTTCATCACACGACAGGTTGTATGAGAACGAGCTTAGAAATTCCAAGGTCACCAACTCGTATGTTGGGAGATTATGTGTGCAGATGAACGCTAAGTCAGAGTTATGGAGTAACCACTACACACTGTCTAGCAATCCCAATTTTCGCAGGCACTAAGTGTCAACATACCATATAGGTACTACGGAGCATTGATAGAACTTAAGATACTGAGTCCTTTGGTGATCTCCGGCTTCTCCGTTGTGAAATGAAATTCCAGAAAGATCTGGTTTTGGTCATGAATTTTTTCGTGCCATTGTTGGAGCAAGGAAGGAATATGGGTAAAAGTTTGTGTGAGATATTATGGATTTTGAATTGGTAATGGGTTTAGGGATAATTTATGTAGAGGAATATAATGGAGGTGATAAATGGGGTTTAGTGGATTTTTATGAAAATGGTTATGGAGGAAGTGAAATAGGCACAAGTTCGATGTAGTTGAGGTAACAGTTTGGAGAAAATGGGAAGAAGAAGGGTTCTGCGAGGGTTTCTGTGAGAATACAGAAACACTTTTGTTTCTCAGTGTGTGTCGAGCATCATGTTTATGTGCCGAACGAGACTGGGTCATGTGAAGCGTGACGGGCGTCACGCTTGTGTGTGTTGGCTGAAGATTTTGATGATATTATTTAGAAGCGAAGCAAATTGGACATTTCGATTGGAATAAAGCAAGATGTGATGTTTCAAAATGGTAGAAGCAGTGCTTCGAATGGGCATACCAAAGCTTGGAGCTTCGAGTGACAGTTATGAGAGTATATTCAAAGAAGTCTCGAAATGATAACAAGGTTGTGTTCAGGAAATGCGTTCGAAGTGAAGAAATGCCAAAACATTTGAAATTCAAATGCAAGCGGGATGTTTGAAATTTGAAATATATGCGCTGGAGCATTCGAAGACACGTGGAAGCAAAAGAGAGGCATTGCTATGCATGTTCTGAACGTGGCAGAATCTTATAGCAAGACCGTTATGGTCGAAGTAGTATAAATAGAAGTCTTAGCATTAGAATTTCGTGTGTCATATCTATTGTACAAAAAACTCAGTAAACATTCAAAATACCACATGGCAAGGGAAACGAATGCACGAGCAATGTACGTATGATAACACCAAGTGTTTATGATTTAATGAAAACTCTTTATCATTTCCAGTATTTTCCTTTATCTTCATGTCAATACCATTTAAAAGCTTTTGCATTAAAATGTTTTCATTCGAAGTCTTTTTACTGATGCCTTTCATTTAAATGCTTTCTTTCCATTTCAAACACTTTACATTTCAGAAACTGTTATACATTTCATGCCTTTATCTTCAAGCTTTTATCATTCGAA